AGCACTTTTAGGAACAACAGCCAGAAGATTCAGCTCCCAGCTGCCCTCACCTGACTCACACTTCAAAGATGAGACCCAAACCACTCTGACAGGAAGTTACCGACCCATCAGAGCCCCCTAACCCCCATTAACCCCCCCAGGTGACTCCCCCCCCCCAGCAGGAGGGACCAGAACCACCTTTGGTTTTTCCACAAATTCTTTAGATCCACCTACAGTATACAAATCTGACTCTACATTTTATTCAATGTTTTGCTGCTTCTTTTACTTATTTTTGGTTATTTGTTGCTTCTTTTACTTATTTTGGGTTGTTTTCTCGCCTTTTTATCTTATTTTGGGTTGTTTATCTGCTTTCTCCACTTATTTTTAATTGTTTTTCTACTTCTACCTATATTTTCATTGTCTTGCTGCTTCTTTTACTTCTTTTTCATTTTTTTTCTCCTTCATCCTTTCATTGTTGGTCGTTTAGCTGCTAACCACCATGAAGTTAGTTAGTTTTCCAGTGATGACTGAGGGCTAACAACTGGCCGCTTCCCAGTGCCGGCTTTGCTCCGGTCCAGCCTCATACTCTGCTCACGTTTCGTAACCTTGGGGATCTTTATTTGGTCTGACTATGCCGACCGGCCCCCCGACACCCGACCTGAAAGCAGCCCAGTAGGCCCCGCCCACCACTGGCCCCGCCCACTGTTGGCCCCTCCCACCGCTGGCCTTCTGGAGGTGTGGCGTGCGGGTGACTCACCAGGAAGCCGGTTCATGTTGACCCCGTGGGCAGACAGGCCGATGCCCATGTATCTGCGGGCAGAAAGAGGAGAAATCACACTTCAGGGCTTTGTCGGGGCTCAGAAACACAAATGGATCCAGTCCTCGCTCTGGAGGAGGAACTCTGAACTCTGCCACAGCCGAGCGAGCTTCAAACGTGGAAGCTCAGAGGTCAGCTCAGACTTCCTACAGCAGGATCTGCTGGCCGTCTCACAGCTAAAGCAGCACAAAACCTTTTTGCTCAGTTGAATAACTCATGAGTGTTGCAGCTGAGTGCATGGGGCCATGGAGGACATCGCTCAGACTCCACATATCTGCTCTGAGACGCGTGCGGGGGCCCGTTCACATGCACGTTTCCCACATTTAGCTAAAGCTTAAAGGGACACTGTGTAGTAGCTAAAATCATTTTATTAATTTATAAATGTGTCCTCATTTGCTGTAAAAGGACCTCTGCAATGATCTGACTTCTCCTCATAAGTGAAAAATTTCCTATCTGTACATACACAGGACGGGTAAGTCCACAGAGGTTTCCATGGCGATCTGCCATTCTGAAAAACTATAATGGCAGAGGGGGACATAAGGCACTAGTCTGCCTGTCTAGCTAATCCACAACTGACTGAAATTTCTTTTAAATCAATTCAAATCATTTTCTTTTAAATTACAAACCTCATCACCAGAGAAAACTCCCTGATGTGGAAGTCATGCTGTCATTATTTCTTGATGCCTGACGGCTACCGTAGCTGCAATACCCATTTGGAAATGGAGGCGCTCGAGAGCAGATTTGTTAGAATGCAGAATACTATTTCACCGTTAGATGGAGGAATTCCTACACTGGGTAGTTTTAAACCTGAAGACGGGGCATCGCTCCAGCCTGAGTTAAGCATGGACTCAATGATCCATGCCCCCCCCAGCTATCAATAACTACAACGAGCTGCTCACAGAAACCGGCCCCTGGGTCCACTGTGCAGGCGGGGCCTTTGGGCCGCCCAAACCGGGTCAGGTGGATTATTCTGTGGATAATGAGTCTCATCTCCGTCCCTCGAGACATCCCCCCCCCCAGCCTGTCCTGTGGGCACTCTGACCTTACCTGCATTGGTTTTGATTCGAATAAAACTCTGTTCAAAAACTCTCCTGCTCCCGTTTGAGAGTCCACCCGAACAAAGCAGATTCTGGGGTGTCCGGCTGGAACCAGGAAGTAGCAGCAGAATTGATACTTAACGGCAGGTTTCAGGCTCTTTGTTTTCCTTTAAACTAACCTGATGGCACCAATTACTCATTTACTCATTCCACCCATAATGTGGAAAATTATTAATATTCTATATTTATGTGCTGTCCTCCTTTCCCGTTGTTTTGTTTTGTGTCTGACTGGAGACTGCAAATTGAATTGCCCTACTTTGGATAAATAAAGTTGTTGAACTGAATTTAAATTGAATTATAGAAGAATTTCATGTGTTGGCGATGTCTTTTCTTCTTTCTGAGTGTTTAAATTGCGAAGGGCAACTGTCTTTTCAGGGAAAGTTTTGCTTATTTCAGCAATGCGCTCAAATCTAAAGAAACCTCTATGATGGGAGACAAGAAACAAATGAAAACGTGGAAAAACTCAACTAATGCAGCTTCATCTAAAAACATGCATGTTGGGCTGGCTGCTGATTAGAAAATGTTTGTGTGGCCTGATAACACACCGGGGGCCGCTCACTTTAACCTGCCTCTCATCTAAAGGTAACATGGACCACTTTGGGTTTGAATGTATTGGATTCAATTTCAGCTAAATCTGCCTTCAAATTATATTTCTAGTGATTTGTTGCTATAATAATGAACCCCAAATCAATTTAGATAAATTAAATTTACTTGACAGTGCGATAAAACACGAGATTAAACCTATTTCTTTGTCTTTATATTGAAAAATGTGGAAAACAGTGCTCGTATTGCGGATTTTAACACCAATTCCCAGAGTCCAAGCGTTTTGTGAAGGAGGCAATAACAGCTATTTATGTTGGTCTGATTCAGCACAAAGCTGCAGCCTCAGCAGCCGAAAGGCTCCAAGAAAAAGCTCCAGCCTCTAAAATTCTCCACCAGGCAGTGCGGCATCTTTCAAATCTACCAGGAAGAGGCTGCAGCACAAATGGAAAACACGAGCTCTCAGAGGCGCTTGAGGAGCCGGTTGTGCTTACCCGTCTCGACCTTTACTGACGATCTTCACCTCGAAGTAGTAGATCCCGCAGGCGGCGGGGATGGGGTGGGTGGCCCGCACCGAGGCCGCGTCCTTGTGGTTCTTTCCATGCCCTGAAAAAGGAAAAACATTAATGCAACACAAGCTGGTGTGACGCCGCTCGGGGAGAGGCGAATCATTCAGCCGGATAAACCCGAGACGTCCGGACACGAGACGCACGTTCACCACCCGCCACGCCCCAAAATACAGGCCGAAGCTCCCCTCCACCAGCCGGGGAGCTGGTCTGTAACTCCAGATGTTCCAGACAGCTGAATTAGGAACCTGAGGATAATTTCAACAGGATTTCCAGGTCTCATATAGTCCCAATTTATACAGGTTGGGGTTGTGTAAGCTAATTCAACCCAAAAATAGAGTTTAAAGATTTAAAAAAATATATCTAAGGGTCCCCGCGACCCCATCAGGGAATAAGCGGTATTGATAATGGATGGATGGATGGATATCTAAGGGTCCAAAATGTAATCCAGCAGTCGTCATTAAGAATATGCAATCAGCACAATCAGGAGGAGATTTAAGAGTTAGTTCTGGAGGGAGTTTGCTAATCAATAAGGCAAAGACCAGGTCGTGTGGACTAAAGGACAAAGGAGCAGGTGGAGGAAACAGCTCAAATCAGATCAGAACATTAACTCAAAAATCACAGGGTGCTTGCAGTAACCGGACTGAGAAAAGAGGATTTGGAAAGACTAACTCAGCACAGGCCGATAAAATGAAAAGATATTGCACCTGGATGTTATGGGAGTAGAAATCTGGGCTAATTTCAGCTTCTGCGACCTTATTGGAAAACGCTGACTCGACAAGATGAGCATCAGTGGAAGAGAGACGATGCAGCTTTTACACTGACGGCGATTCGTTTGAGGCTCTAAATTCAAAGAACCGACTGCTTGTTTTTGGTGCTGAAAAGTAGTAATTTAGGAGGGAAATCTACCAAATAACAACCAAGATTTGAACAGAAAATGCACAAGTCACCCGTTAAGGAGAAGAATACTTTAAGAATTGCTTTTTATGTATTTATTTTCATTTTATTTATCTATTTCTATTCCGAAACAATAAAAACATAACAAACAAATTTACCAAAGCTTTTCAACCTTTATTCAATATATTATACCACCAAGACAAGATATTTGATATAGTTTTTTATGCTTTGGCGATTTAAATCAGCTAAATCTTAAGAATGATATTTTTGCTTGTTCGCATATTTATGACAATAATATGTTTATTGATAACATATGTGCTATCTATCTATCTATCTATCTATCTATCTATCTATCTATCTATCTATCTATCTATCTATCTATCTATCTATCTATCTATCTATCTATCTATCTATCTATCTATCTATAGGCTCCAGACTGAATGTTTGCTGAAAGCAAACCTGCATCTGTTAAGTGGTTTCCTGCTTTAAACGTCTGACTCTGATTAAACGCATGTCTTCTAAACACCGTTAAGCTTCACGTGCCTGTTAATGCGCACTGATGTGAATCAGGAGGGACCCAAGCAGGGATCTGTGATCTCTGTGATCTGTGGCATCGTTTGAAATCTGACCGTGCTCTCAGGGACAAGCATGTTTGATTTTTTTTTTACAACAAAACACAGTTTTGATTGACTTTATCCTGATTCACGTCTTCAAAACAGCTCTTCCTCAATGGGGATCACGACTCTACAGACCTCCTGCTCTCCTATTGGCTGTTTGGACCCGGATTTAAGGAGCCAGGGGTCCAGGACCCGGGGAGTCCAGGACCCGGGGAGTCCAGGACCAGTTCCTGCCCTGCTCCAGGCCTGTGTGACTCTGGAGGATGTTGTTTGGGGCACTTGAATTTGACTTGGGTTGTTTTGAATAATCCCAGTGTGGTTTTGTGTGGTTGTCTGTATCTGGATCCTCCGGTTTGAGTGCAGCTGCTTTTGTTCTGTTTTGTTTCTCTTTTTGTGTTTGATTGCTCCCTTTGTGTTCATCGGTTGACTCTTTCGTTTAGCTAATAAATAACTTTTTGTCATTACCAAGAACATCCGGTATTTGTGTTATGTCCCTTTTCCCTTAACAAGCTGGTTGTAACAGCGGGAAATACAGCAGAACCTCTACAGATTAATTTAACTGGTTCCAGGACATACTTCCTATGTTAAAATATTCATATGTTAGTTCAAATATTCCCATCAGAATACACTGTAATTCCTATAATTTGTTCCACAGCCCAAAAACCTACGATAACTCCTTAATAAATACTGCAGATAATCACACATAGCAATAAAACAAATGCATTATATAAGAGAGATGTAAAAAGGAATTAATTATAAAGAAATAATCAATAAAAATATTTTTTATTGGCAGGTAGAGACTGAGATACAGGACGAACCCTAACTTACTCTAATTTTCACTATGTAAACTTTGCACTAACTTAGCTTATTTATCTTAATTTAATTTGTATATATAAAAAAAAATTTCTATGACTTTGATGTCATACGCGTTTGTATGTAGGAAATTTACTTTGGGTGTTGAGTCGAATATTTGATCGAATTTGCCTTTGGATGTGGGATAATTCCTCCATTTAGGCATCGTAGGTGGAGCTTCTGCTGGCCGGACACGTGGACTCGGTGGTGTTTCTGGCCGGACCCGGAGGCCTGAGGCTGTGTGTCACATTCAGCCGGCTGCTTATGCGCCCCCCCCCCCCCGGGCTGAGGGGTGGCGTTGTGTAACTCCGGCCGAAACCCCAAACCCTGCAGCTGGCCGTCAGCAGACACCTCCAGGCCGGCGTGCGCACCTCTCACGTGCACGGCGGCCCGGGTTCCTGTGATGCAGGACATGCCGCTGCGGGCCGCTCTATAATTAGCCGGCGGGCCGCCCCCCCGCCGCCATTAACAGGCAAACAATTACACCGGCCAGCCAGAACATTACGACCACCGTCACCATCCGCTGGGATGGAATTCCCTCTGACAGCTGCCCGGACATTTTCTGGTGACCGATTCCCCCCCCCCACCCAGGGCATTCATAATGATACGGCCGGTGGGAGCGCGCTGGCTAACGCTGGAATATGCACCTTACATTAGTATTACATCAAATGTACACGTTTTGCTCCAGTAACTTTGTTTGCTTGTCAGTAAAATTGTAATTAGACTTAGATTACTGTGACTCATGGCGGGTTCACCCCCTCTGTGACCCCCTACTTCACCACCCCCAAAGTAACGGTGCAGGTGACCTTTGACACCCCACTATAAACGTACAGAAACATCTATAACACGGACAGTAGGCGCATCCACACCTTAGCATACTGACAACACAAAATATATTATCTTACAGTAATTTACTCATTACTTTAATTTGAACTTAACCTCATGAGATGGATGTGCAACATACTCGGAGCACAGCGAGGTCTTTTCTGCAGGTCTTTTCAGGGCAGCGTCCACTGGAAGAAATGTCCCCGTTTGCATTCAGAGCTGAGGAAAAGCTGCAAAGACACCAGTCCTCCGCTGGTTGGCTGTTGCTTTAAGACACAACCCACTGCAGGGAAACAGGCACTTGGAGCATGTGCTGCCTCTCCACCACAGGTCAAAGGTCACCCCTCTCCTGTTTTGATAAGGACGACCCCACTCTGAGCTCGATCTCCAGCCAGGACGAGAGAAATCCATCAGCTCAGCAGCAGCAGCAGTGGGTTGGCCTCAACCATTTCTTCCCCTTTTGCCCCAAAAACAAAACTGAGGTCTCTGGTTCTGATTTCAGATAAAGACGAAGCCGTCCCGCTCATAGACGCACTCATTAGAAAGCTACAGCAGCAGCTACTAAAGCCAGGTGTCTCACCTGGAGAGGAAACCCGGGAGACTCAGATCCTCCCCCTCCTGGCTCACCTTTGTCCTACTACCGCAGCCCAGGGGGAGCTGTTCTTGGCCATATTCATTTCTGAAGGCCTTCATATTGGGTTTTGGGGACTGTTCAGCGAGTAGAGCCCCAGGTTCTGGTCTCCTGCTGGGGCCCAGAACCAGAACCAAACCAGGAGAGGCTTCATTTCAGTTTCATGCTCCGAAAATCTGGACTTCTGGGCGGCTAGGTGTGAGCTCAGATCCACCACGTCAAAAACTGGGTTCATGACCGACTGTTGTCCAACAACCTACACCGACTCTGGCCGCTGTGCAAACAGCTTTCCCTTCTGACAGATCCCCGAGAAACAGATCAAACTGGTGAATAAATAAATGGCAATTAAAGCATCCAAATGAAAGCAAAGCTTTTTTTAAACAGGGAGCAGGAAGGAAACACTTTTAGTTTGAGAAAGGTTTATTGACTCAGCTTTCTCCCGTTTAACCTAATGAACCTTTTCTAACAGATCCCGTTCACACAGAGAAGGATTTCCAGAGTTTTTACAGTCGCTTTGCATCAGTTTGGGTGGAGCAACTCAAGACTTTTCACAGCCGATGAGCTAAAACTGCTCTGGTTTCATGTCATGGCTTCAAAACCGGGAGAAATCTGACTTTGAAGCACTACTGGGAGACTATGACACATAAAAAAGCAAATTCTGGTGATGAAACCAGCAACAAAGGAGTCCTCTAAGCCTCCAGAGCCACAGCTGCCCGACATGTTGGTCAACTTTAATCCCCAGCTCCTGTTTTAACCCAACAAAAATAGATTTCTTACCCACCAAGCATTACAAAACATGCACCATTCAGACTTGATTCCTCACGCAAGCCTTTCCCAAAGGTGGGGAACGACTCCTAGAAAATCTAATCATATTTTAAAATAAAACACTGTTAATTACACTGTATCAATAATTCATGTAAAACAGACTGGGCATGTCAAACCTATGCATGTTAGAATGTCTGAAGAAACCGACCCAATTACGTTATTTGTGGTTATTTTGGGCCATATCGACCAGAGCAAAGCCCCCCAGAAGCCTGCCTGGGACATTTTGTTCAGCATTCACCCACCAAGCAGCTTCTCAGCCCAGAGGGAAGACCTCCAGGCCACCAGAGGGAACACCTCCAGGCCTCCAGAGGGCACTGTGGACGGACAGCCGTCCTCAGCTCTGACCCACAAAACCACAGGTACAGAGGACGCCTCAACCTGGAGGTCCCCCTGTGCATGTGGAAGTCATCCTGAAACAAAGATGTGTCATGTTGGACTGGCTTCTCTGCCCTCGTATTGGTCACTTTGAGGGCCAATCAGAGGCCTTTGACAGACTTAACAGCTGAAGCTCTCCGGGTCCTTGTTGCCGCACACGAGGCTTCACCTGGAGGCTCTCGTCCGTTCGGATCTCGAGTCAGATGAAGGTGAAACGCTCCAACTGGGTTTTGGGTTTAGTCCTGCTACGACCTCCTCAGGCCATCAGAGAACCAAACCCACAGCTCTGCCACATTCGCCCCTCATTTCAAACTATGGAGTTGAGTCCACTGAAAGAGCAGCTGAGCCCCTTAAAAATCTTGTTTGCAAGATGAAAATGTCTAATTTTCCATCTGCTAAAAACCCTGAAACCCCTGACAAGCTGTTTTCTTTAACTGTGAAGTACTTTTAAAGCATGTAAAAAGGACTTTACATGCTTTATGTTTGTCTCTATGTCAACAGACACAAACTAACCCAAAATCATCTTTGTACTTTTCAGATTCCAAAGAACGGGTGAAGGGTTCAGTCAAACGTGGAGAAAAAAACAACACAAAATGAGCTCAGATCACTTCAAGAACTTCTCTGCATCCACTGATTTTCTCCAATCCTTCAAACGCACCACCTCTCATTTCACCCCAAACTGTAGCTCAACAGAAAGAAGCTGAACTCCAATTGAGGGCTGTTAATCGTGTTTTATGAGCAGCATTCCTCTATGCATTAAACAAAACAGGATCATGTAGCAGCAGCCCACAACATCTGGATGAAAAGTTACATTAAATGAGAAATAATAGTATCTAGGTTTCCCCACACGCTGGACTGGTCCATTTATCTGTGACCTACATAATTCAGCCACTTTTAGATCAAATATGTCACATAATGCAAACGCGCCCGAAGCCAAACGTTGATGTTTTTAACACCTCGATCCTCTAAACAGTGTCCTCTGAAAGTCCCAGAGCTCCCGTCGTCCGGCAGGGTGGGGCTAACTTTTCAGGCCACGGTTTATCTAAAATTAGCTATTTGTATCATATTATCAGCTGGGGGCTAAAGCGGTCCGGTGAGGGACGCCTGGCCCGTTTGGGGGTTCAGCTCCTCCGCGTGAAGCCGGTTTTTGGTGCGTTTCTGTGTCCAGAAGGACAGATTATTTAGCCAAATTTAGCCGAGCTGCGAATCTGCAGAACAGACTGCAGGGCCACAGGTGCCTCTGGCACGGAGAGCCAGTCCCAAAAAGTGGCCTCTGTGAGTCCATCAGCCATTAGAGCCCGTTTGGTCTCCAGCCTGAGCTGAGCTGCCCTCTCTCTGTTAACTGACCACCACTTTGTTACTTTGAGGCAGTTTAAAACTTTGATGCTGTGTCACCGATGTGGGAAAAGGGTGTCAGCGGGGCCTAAAATGATGTGATTACAGCTCAGATGGGCAAAATCCAGCCGCTGCTGATCAATACTCTGATTATTGATCCTCAGAGTGGGAGCAGCTGTGTAAAAGCAGACGTTTGCTCAGTTTGCTGCTCTGCAGCTTTCAGGTGTTTAAGCACAACACCGAGGAGGAAAGACACCAGAAGGACCGTCAGTCTGAAGGTTTAAAAACGTTTGAAACTAGGAAGTTTTAAACGGCCTTAGGAAGATGATTCACAGCTGGAAAACATCCAGAAGAGCTCAGCCCAAAGTCAGAGACCCAGCAGCGCCATCTAGGACTCAGCTAGCAGCTCAGAGGTCAAAGGTCAGGGCAGATTGAGCCAGTTTGTTTGTTTGTTTGGGCTGCAGGAGGAAACAGAGCAGCTGCATCTGAACAGACAGCAGAGTGGAGGCGTCTGCTCAGAGTCCCAGAAAAAAAAGAGCTCAGAGCAGCACGGCGGGGGAGGCGTCATGGTCTGGGCTGCTCCTGCAGCATCAGGAGCTCCTCTGGACCCAAAAGTGTTCAGATGGACCCCCCCCTCCCGACAGCTAAAGCTGGAAGCGGCTCCCCGATAGGACACAGATCCAAACCCTGCAGCAGATTCTGCAGCAGCAAGTCTGAGGTCATTTTACTTTAGATCAGCTTTTCTTAGAAATCTAATGACCCCCATCAGAAAGCATCAGTTCAGCTTCCTGCTGGCAGAGGAGGCTCTGGCTGCTGGATCATGGGGGTGTTATAGTTATGATCTATATATCTTTTAGATATTTTTTAACTCACTGCTTCTGTGTTTTGTTTGTTTGTAAGTAATGATGTTGTGTCATATGAACCTGTATTACACAATGTTTAAGAACCATAAAAGGACCGGGTGATTTTCACCTATGAGAGGGGACTTTCTTCTTTACATGGTTTTATCTAAATGAATAGAGGTCCATTTACACAGGTTTAAGACAATAGAACGACTGATATTTTCCAAAGGCTTATATATATATATTATTTTATTTTTTTGCTATATGAGCAAATTTTTTCTATTAAAATCACTAGCAAAACACTGGTCACATAAAAACAGGAGAATCCACAGACTAATGAAGCCAGTAAACAGCTGGACTTTGTTTGAGAGGCGAGTCATATCAATCACATTAGAAGTAAATTCATACTTTAAGAGAGGCTAAACAGCTTGGCTGGCCGTGCCACAGAGGGTCTTAAATCAGTCTTATCCTGATAAAACGTTCTTAAAAAGGTGTCAAAAATGCAGATTTGTTTGAAAAAACAAACAGTCCCCGGCTGTATAATTCTGGTGCAAAGTCATTTGTCGATAGGCGTCTTTGTAGCTGCTGAGACAGCCAAGATAAATCTGCATCTGCCGGGGCACATTAGGTGTAGGTAGACCGTGTGGCCTTGAACAGAGAAAATTGGCACACTGGTCAAAATAGCATCGAAACCACAAGGGTGAGGTAACAGAGCAAGAGCTGGAACAACCAGAAGGAGAAAAAAATAGCCTGTACACTCCAGAATAGACCCATTTATGTGTCATCCCTTCACAATTGTGCTGTGTCACTTAATCTCTGCACGTTTGACTGACACAAAGATTCCCATGTCCCACATAGCCTCGGCGTGAAATGACATGATTTACAACACGCCACAGCCATGAAATGTGAGGCAAACAGTTATTAAACAGGAATCCGGGCTCGCAATAACACCACAGAACAATCCCCCGAATGTGGGCCGGCCGGTGTTCAATTCATCAGCTGTGAGCTGATCAATTATTCATCCTGAGATCAGCGGGTTCAAGCCGGCTATCTGGCTGAATGAGTCTTGATTTAAAAACAGAAAATACTTGGCCTGGCTGACCGGGGCCGGGGAGATATTTGCCAGATAAGCCTGTGTCCCTTCACCCTCACGGCTGAAGCACACAGGCCCAGAGTGGCCTCTTATTTACAGCCCCAGTCCCGAGGAAAGCGTCCAGACACAGCCCAACATACAGATGTCACCTTCTTTTGATTTAGGAGGTGGGCATATTCCGATGGCTAAAAGCCCCCGCTGACAGCTTCCAGCCATGAATGAGGGGGCTAACTGCGCCGTGTGGCCGCTGTTATTGTTAAAACGTCAGGCTGAGTCGATACAACAGATTTACTACAATATCTGGCCTAATGCTTTGCGCAGAGGCCTCCTTCGACACAGCTGGAGGCTGGATGGCTGATCTGAATAGATCAGGACCGGTTGATTCTGGGCTGGAAAGCACAGAAAGAACAGGGGGGGGTAGCGGTGGGGGGGGGAGAGAAAAACATGATTTCTGGAAAAGACTTCTAGAACACAGCGGCTGAAATCACGCGAGAAAAACACAACAATGTCAGTTTTATTCTCTCTTGCCGCTTGGCGTGGTGGAAAACTGACCACCACTACCGCTCGGCCCCGCATTGTTAAAGGTTAACAACAAGTTTGGCCCGTGTCCATCTTGTAGCCTACTGTTTTCACGGCAACGTGAGTCAGAGGAAACAGCCTGGTTAGCCGCGCTAGCTAGCTAGCTAGCCACAAGCTAGTCAACTCCTGCTGCATTTGCGTTGGAGGCGGCATTGTGCTATCAGGCTATACTGTTTGTCAAATAGTGCGAGTTAGCTTATTGGCAGAGCCGCGGCTATGCTGACTGTTAACGACAACTCCAACAGCAACTACGGAGGGGGCCAGAGGCACAGTCAGTTAGCACAAAATAGGAATAAACGGGGGAAAAAAAAAACAAAGAGTGACCGTGTTTTGTTTAAGGAGAGCAAGGAGGTGGAGGAGGGGGTTAGTTCAGTTAGTGAGACCAACTGTCAGGGCTCGCGGGGTAACTGTCACCCGTTTGGGCATTCCTCTGAACAAAGCAAGGACAGCAGAGGCAGCTCAGACTAGATTTACCAGGCAGCACACACGCACGCACGCTCACAGTCAACATAATCGCATATTGCGCGCGCGCGTGTGTATATATTTATGTGCGTGCGTGTGTTTGTGTTTGTGACCCCCCCCCACCACCACCACCACCACCCTACCCTCCGCGACAACAACGCAGTGACAGATTCGGGCTGAGACCCATCCGGGATGCGGCGGCGCCCTAACCTTTGTAATGGACCCGCAGGTTGTTCTGTGACAGCCCGATGTAGCTGTATTTATCCTTGGGACTCCAGGAGCGGGGCAACGGGGTCTCTTCCTCGTTCACAGCCGGGTAGAGCCGCTTCAGCCGCTCGCTCAGTTCGTGCTCCTGGTAGTTAAAAGCTGGGTCTCCTAACGGCAGGCTGCCCGCGCCGAGCTCTGCCATCTCGGCCTCTGTTCGGCGTCTTATCGTCGGGTCGTTTCTGTCCAAAGCCCCGTGATAGTCCGCTGGAGCTGTGGGTTGGGAGTGAGAAGGGCTGAGGGGAGAAAATAGCAGCGGTGTGACATCCCCCGGATAAGCAGCAGAATGTACTGTACGCTGGAGCAGAGCTGTGTGGGTACTGTAGTTCGGCACGTCCAGAAACGACTACACAGCTGCACAGTGCACTGCTCACCGGGCTAAAAAGAAGCCCAGAAGAGTAATTTACATGCTTTAGAATCAGAATAACCGTTTAAATGATGCTCTGTTTTTAATACCCAGCTTTGTCAATGTCAATTGTTTATTGATAAAGGTACAATAAGCAAACAATTAGATTTTTTTCCCATTGGATGTTCAAGAGACAAATGGAAGGAAGAAAGATTGTATGATGTTTAATTGTACTTTATCTGGATTGTATCTTATTTTGAACAAATTCAAATACATGAGATGGATGAGAAAAATGTATATCGAATAAAAATAACATGACATGTTTGTTATAAAGCACATTTAAACAGCTACTACCCACCAAAGTGTGGAGTTTTAAAATTACAAAAATGTGAAATAATAAGGAAACTTAAGGAACATAAGTGCACATAAAAGAAATGGGCTATCCCTTGAAAAAAAAGAACACATCAACCATAAAATACGATTTTTGATAACACAATTATCATCTGATATTGGTCCAAATATAGTAACAATAAGATCCAAAGACAACAGTCTTATTATGAGTTAAAATAAATTATGAAATCCTTTCCATTCATAGTTTGTCTAAGTTTTCTGTGCTGTAATATAACCGCATTGTGATACATATTTGAAGAAACTTGCCTCTTTAAATTTCGTTAAATATTGTCTTTAAGTGCAATTAGGTCTTATACAGTACCTATAAAGCTGCTCCATCCCTGTTCAGTTTCAATATTCAGTGTTGCACATTTGTGTGGGGAAAAAACTATATTTTTAAACCATAAATTGAAAAAGTATTAGGCGCGCCGCGGACCACTATGTGGGGTCTTCGGGTCGTCCCGTAGTCATGGAAACGCTGCTACAACAGAGGGTTGTGATGCTAACGTGAGCAAACACAACTATAGAAGATAGTTGTAATTTCGCGTAGCAGGAAGAAATGTCCCCAAACAAAGACGTGAAGTTTCCACCTTTGACACGGTCACAGAAGCAAAGGTAAGTTTAAAAAAAATGGAGTAACGTCCCGCCAACATTAGCCTGAGTGACCCGGTGTTTGTTTTCATACCGTTTCAGAGCCACGTTTGACAAAGATATGCAGAAAGTCACAGTCCATGCTAAAGAGGAAAAACATGAAAGATGGGCTGGTGTTTCAGCTCCAACCAGCTCAACAAGACCGGTATGCGGACCATGAACAGGTTTATCCAGCCTGAAAGACTTTCAATCATGTTAGCTTGTGTCAAAATTAACTCAGGCATTTAGATATACCAAATAAAGGTGGAGCCATTCAGCATTTTGCTTTAAATGAGGTGGACATTTTTTCAATTATTAATCCTCAATGTTTTTCTTTTCAGCTCATATTCCTTTACAAACTCTATTTATACTTTACATACACATTTCAACAAATAACTGCACTCATTTTACTGGAAATAAATAAAAGATAAATAAGGTTTGGCTGAGGATTTTGACTTTTCATAGAAATAAACATCTACAGAATGCATGGTTTGGTACATTTTTCTACTGTTTTAAAAAATTACCAATTGACATAAATAAGTAACAGCATGCAATAATTTCCAGTGATTTTTAGTATTTTATGTGATGAAAAAACCTACTTTATTCTGAGAGCCAATCTCACAACAAGACTTTTACTTTAAATAGATTTTTAAAATACCATCAACCCTTTAATTCATATGGATTATATTTGATACAGAGTTTTTTAGACTACATCCCCATATAGTCAGGACTTTGCTTAAACAGTTTTGCAGAAAATATTGATTACATTTCATGTTTAAAACGTGTGAATTCTATTTGTTTCTTTTTATGCATTTTGTTAAAGAACCAAACACTTCAAGCATAAAAAACTGAATTTTGTATCCATGTTTTTCTTGGGTCAGACTTCATGGGGTTAGTCCTTTCCCACATGGTGGTCATATAAATACCTGCTCACCTAAAAAGCCTCCTCTTCCCTCCCGTACTGCCTCTGATAAGTGGCTATCACAGCAGTGAGTGGCTGTGTGTCTGTGTGTGATAAACCTGTAGCCCTGCTGGACGGGAAGCAGTTACTTGTATGCAGGCGCGGGCAGAAAGCCTCCACTCCTGGTGCAGCTGGAGAGCTGTGTGAGCAGAGAGCTGCTCGCCATCAGCCCGCAACACCCACAGTGTGAAGAACTAAAACTGCAGGTGGTGTGTTTCTTTTTAATGACTGAGCTAGAGGACATTTCAACACACAGTCCTCTCAGTTTGACTTATTAAACGTATTCAAATTCCTTGACTGCAGGTCTACAGAAACGTCTTTGGTTGTTTCATTAGTGCATTCAGAACCTACCAGCCTCTTCTCTCTGCCATCAAAAACGAATATGAAAACGCTTTAGGTCAGTATTTCTATTTGTAAACTTCAATCTGTCATATTTATTTAACTAATGTTTCAATAAAGACGTTTCAGTGTCTTTTCCTGATCAACTTCTTTTTGCATGGAAAATATAAACAAACATAGAATGGTATTCAAGCATAAAATCTTTTGAAAAGTTTGGGGAAAAGCCAAAGAATGTCAGGAAATGTCATAGAAGGGGATCGGGTGGGGGTGGGGGAGTTATTTTAAAACATCTAAATTATTTAAGTGTCATTAAAGCTTATTGAATTAAACTCTGAACATGTTGCAAGATTGGTCGGTGAAAGCACTGTAAATGTGTTCAAACTTTCTTTCTGTGAAAGAGAAAGCCAATAAACAAATTCAGTGTTTATTGATTCAACATTTTCTGAAAATACGAAACAGATTTAAAGCTCCAAGACTTTAGAGCATGTCACTGCTAACCTGCTGCTTAAAGGATATATAGGAGTTATATTTCAAAACGAAAGGCAAATTTGTTTGGTTGACAGTGTGAATGTAGATGTAAGAAACAAATGATTAATGTTGTAAAGCAAAAGGTGACATCATTCTAGATGTGCCACGTTCTCTTTTAAAGGCGTGTGTGTAGAAACTGGAAGTCAGAGAGCTAGAAATTAACAGTCTGTGTGTCCTGATGTTTTAAAAAAAAACTGCTTTTCTGCTCAGCTCATCAGCAAGATCAGATCCAGGAACTGCGGTCCCACCTGAGACTGATGACCGACGACTGGGACAGAAAGACTGAGGCGGGATGGGGGGGGGCACAGGCGGAGGCCGAGGCCCTGAAAGGGGAGAAGCAGCAGCTGCAGAGGGACATGGAGGCTCTGCGGCAGCAGGAAAAGGCCACGCAGACGCTGGTACAGGCCGCCCCCCCTCACCCAGAGCTCATGCTGTTCGGGGCTCAGCTCAGACCAGGTTGATGGCTCGTTGTTCTCTGCCCCCCCCCCTAAAGGTGGACCACCTGCAGGCAGAGCTGTCCAACCAGTACCTGCAGTACCGAGAGGAGCGGGACGCCCGCAGGCTGCTGATTGGGCAGCTCAATGTGCTGACCGAAGCCTGTGTGGTGCAGGACCCCCCCGCCCAGGAGGACACAGGTAGAGCTGCCTCTAAGGCGATTAACCAAGCTGATAAGAAACAACAAACCTCTGCAATTTAAGCTTATTTAATTCATTAATGTCACATGACAATATACGTCCTCTCTTTTTTTCTATGGCTAAAAATGGGGAATTCAGCCTAACTCCTTCCATCGAATCCCATTTGTGCAGATTTTGACATTAAACACAGACTCTCAGGCCTTAAATGGGAGGCAGGAGGCCCACGAGGGCTCTAGCTGTCCCATGGCTCTCTGATGGGCCTTGCTTTTATTTTCTCCTTCGCCTAGCTTGTGCCAACTTTAGCTTGTGTCAACTTTAGCTTATCCTCTAGGCTCGATTTTGGCAATAGGCCCCAAATAGCACATTTTCTTCCAGCATTTTACCTGTCAGAGACTGCGTTTGGGTTTCTGCTGAGCCAGAGAGGAAATTAATTTGGTCATATTGTACCTTATGATACATAAAGATTACTGGACCTTACTGATCCGTCCCCATGGGACATAGTGTGTGCTGGGTATAAATGTGAAGGGCAATGGACCCCAGTGCTCCATTTTCCTCCCAGAAACATGCATGCTAGGTTAATTGGAGACTCTAAAACTGTGTTTACTGTGTTACTCATGGGGGATTGTCCTGCTGTCACAGAGGACGTTAAGGACGCCCTGGAGCTGCAGCTCGCTCTGAAGGTGTGCCGGGGCGACCTGACTCAGACCCAGGAGCAGCTCCACCGGATGAAGGCCGAGTACTGGGGCGTGGTCCCGCAGCGGGACTGGGACGCGTTGGAGCGAGCTCACCGGCAGGCTCTGCAGCAGGTGAGCCTCCCGGACACACGGGGGCCGGGACGCCGCTGACCCCCCCCCCGGACTGAGCCTCTGTTTGCTCTGTCCAGCTGGAGACTCTGCGGGGAGACTTCGATCTGCTGAGGAGCGAGTACGACTCCCTGCTGGAGATCTATAAACGGGCCGGCATGCACCGCAACGCGCTCGTTTCTACCAGTGTGCAGGTACCGATTTTCATTTTTACCGCAATCTGGAGAAATAACAATGTCATACAGTATCATGAATTCAGACGTTTAGCACCTTGACTGCTGCACTCATTTACTTGGATTTGAAATATGAAGCCAGTTTGCAAAAGAGTTGAGATTAATTTCGTCCTTTTTAGACGGAGGAGGTTTTTTCTGAGTCTGAATCCCATGAGAGCGGCGCACCTGCTGTCCAGGAGTTCAGGTGAAAACACACAGAAGGACGCTCTCTGCTGTCGTCTGATGCTTTTAGGGTCAATGATTGTATATATTTTAATCACCCAAATCTCTACGCTGTGTTTCTTTCTTTGTATATTTGCTTACTTTTGATGTACTTTATGCACCTTTTCCTCCTTTTGTACCCTAACCGATATGTGACCAGTGAATTTCTCCACTGTGAGATCAATAAAGCTCTTATCTTATCTTATCCCTTTTTTCCTGAGATCTTCAGACTCGTTCTCCGGGTCCTACTCTTGACGCCTCCTGTCATGTTTTCCTGCACACATGTAGGACGGACCAGGACCAGGCTGATGCAGGCAGAGCTGAGCGCCTGACCGGGGCTGGAACGGAGGCAGAGAGCAACAATGCCAACGTCCTCTCCGATGGTCTGATGAATGAGCTGTAGTGTTTCCCCAACTCTACAGAAAAGGTTATCTTAACTCAAAAGCAGCTTTATTCTTATTATCCAGACACATCAGGATGAAATGTGAGGCTGCAATGTTTATTTTACTTTGAGAAAGCTTGGAAATATCGATAAACCATCAGAAGGGAGTTCAGATAATGACTTAAATGTAGAAACAACACTATGGTCGATGTGAAGCCGTTATGTGGCCAAATACGACAAATATATTTATATCTGTAACCAAAAGAAAACCCCTTTTGATATCAATACAATTCACATAGAATTTGTTTAATTCATGTTAATTCTTGTCTCAATGAGAGTCACTTTGACTGTCCAATTCGGTTCCAACATCTGCTGTTTTTGGCTCGCCCGGGTCTAATGCCCTTTCCATATTTGAATATTGTGGTTGACAGGATAATCTAAATATGTTTTTATTTTAACTCAAGGATTATAAGTTGTCTTTATTATGCAATGTATTTTTTTACACATCTACACTACACATTCTGTAATTATACTGAAACTTCAGTATTATGGGATGAATAGTTGTTGGACTCATTTTTATATGCTGCTGTAACTCTCATATTTCCCCTTTGTGAGACAAATAAAGGCAACATTTTTCTTGGAACTAGTTTGTATACTAATATATACGGTTAAGCATGTCTCTTTCTGGACAAAATGACAAGATTGATATTGATTGTCCCACAAACTTAATGTATTTAGATTCTTCACATAACGACTACAATACCCAGAATCCCCCGGGCCATTGACGTCCGGTCGCGTCTGTACGTAGTAGAGAAGACATTGCACTGTGCCATCGTGCAGCTGGCCTTGGCGCTAGTGAGAGGTAAGTTTGCATTACTTGTTTTAAGAGAGCCTTCGTACGAAATAGTGAATGGAAACATGTGCGAAAACACAAAATACTAGTTTGGTCTGGAATTTGAGCCAACTTGAAGCTCTAAAAGTAGTTAAATTAGCGGTTTCCACTCCGATTTTGGGCTAACGTCGGGCACGCCTATGAGGGGCAGCTACCCCGGGGTTCAGGAGCTGTGTGCGTGGGCCCGCCAGGAGGCATCGGCACTCACGGACGGGGTATTTTTAGACTCCGGTGACAGGCCCAGCGCCAGCCAGCCAGCTAGCCAACGCCTGGACCAACGATTTCGCTTGTGGTTAACATTAGCCGGTGTGGAGGTTAGCTAGGCGGCGTTAGCAAACAAATCACATCTCAAGCTAGCAGCCGCTACTTGGACAACTAGCGAAACAAGAGTGGCTTATCCATTCATTAAGCGCTCAAGCTCCTTTCAACCCGCTCCTCTGCTCTTTCTATCTGTTTATTCGGGCGTGGTGGTCTTCAGTCCTGCGGGTTGTCGTCGGTTGTAGTCCCGGTGTAACGGCTACGTGAGGCGCGCGCAGATTGTTCCAGTAACGAGCCTTGTGAGGGGGCACGTGACCCATGCTGTCAGTGTCTCCCCAGCAGAGACTCCTAACGGGGCTCTCAGCAAACCCCCCCCCCAGCCCAATCAGTCCAGGCCAGATCTGTGGGTTCGCCCCTGCTCTGTCAGTTGGTGCGGCTAACGTGTTTAATTTTGATTTGAATTTAGCCGGAAATACTCTAAAAGTTGGGTTTGGCGGTTTGTTGGCCATGATATTCATATGATGCGATCTTTGAAAGGGGAAATGCACATTCCTCCTGTATCCCATTGAAAGTTAACGTTTAAAACGAGTGTTTTCTACAGAAAGCCCATCCAAGTTTAAAAACTGCATAATAAGCAGGTGGTTTCAAAAGAAAACAGCCTCCTAACATTAACATGTCCGCCACCTAGTGTAATTTCTTGGGTGCTGTTCAACAGCTAAATTACTCATTTGATTTGTGAGCAAAGTTTTGCACGTTTTTTATTATATGTTGACTCAAAAGAGAGAGTTATTGTTCCCAGTGGAAAAACAGTGCTACTAATAGGTAAAGCAAATGCAGCTAGTTGGGGATTGGTCCAGATCGCATTTCACACACAGTTTTTCAGTAGCTTTTAGGACTGCTTAGACCCCCCATCCCAAATGCTCTGCCATTTTTCAGTTGTTCTTACAGGAAAATGGTTTCTCAACTTCCGTAAGCTCTGGCCAAAAAATGTAAACCACATAAATTCGGCATCGTTGCAGCTCATTCATTCTAAAAAAAACACAACAAACACTGGTGAATTAAACTTCATTCAGGGGAGAAAATGAGCTGCACGGTGTGGTCTGCAGAGGAGAGGCTTCGACGGGACGTGCCTGGCTAAATAAACACAGGGGGTGAGGTAATGCTGCATCACAGGCTGGAAAATGCCTTTCAGCACACTGCAAACGCCACCTTTCACAGCCGACCCCGACACAGAGTCCCCAAAGATTATTACGGATCAGACACAAAAGACGACGTAGATGAACCACAGAACCTAGAATAAGATCGTTAACACACCCTGCTCCGCTCGTGGGCTCGGTTTGGTCTCTTTGCTCTGTCTGATGGCCCCCTGTTCAGCCGGTCTGACCGTCTGCCTCCTCCTGCCCCCTCTGTGTTGCAGGGCGAATCAGGATGGGGGACCAGCCTCTGTGGGAGCAGATAGGATCCAGCTTCGTGCAGCACTACTACCAGATGTTCGACTCGGACAGATCACAGCTGGGGTCCATATATGTGGGTGGAACGCAGACGCTCACGCACGAGACCTTCTGAAATGACCTCCCAGCTTTTCTTTCAGTATCTGTAATCAGTGTCACTGCTTCTTTTGGACAGAGGAACTCTGTTACTTAGTGTAAAACTGAGTGAAACCCTTCATAAATAACTAAACGATTGCTCTTTAGACAGAGTCCCCCTCATTTTAGGGCTCCGGCCTGTTTGGGGCCATTTAAGCAGGAGTCCGGAGCACTTTGATGACATCACCAAGCGCTCTGCTCCTCTCCTCAGCCACCTTTAAGCATCCGGCCGTCAGGCCTGGGTGGGGCTCCTAATCACATGACTGGCTCGGCCAATCAGGTTGGCTCCTGTTGGCCTGGAAGGCTCCAGGTCCATCTGGGGCCGGACTGGCCTGAAACCACGTTTCCAGAACTCTGCAGCTACTTTAAAGACATTTTTTTTGCCTGTTTTCTTGACCAAGCGTCTCACTTCCTCCTGAAGGAAAGCTGGCTGGAAGCGTCTGTGTGAAAGGGCAGAGGCCTGGAATGAGGGGGAGTCTGGATAAAAAGTCTTATCTGGATGTGTTCATACGGATTGGGACTTTCTCAGTTTTCGCTTTGTCACATTTACAAATGAAAGCAACATTCAGAATGAAACACTTTGTCAACATGAATGAATTCCAGCCTCTTTAAGTGAGAGGATTTCCTCTTTTCTTGGATTGTCTGAAACACTTTTTCTGTCTGCCCCCCCAGATTGATTCATCTTGCCTTACTTGGGAAGGACAACCGTACCAAGGAAAAATAGCAATTGTTGAGAAACTCACTGTAAGTTTTTCTGTGATCTTTGTCATTTAATCAGTTTTGCTGCTGCAAAGAAGGTGAAGCTTGTTACATTGTTTCCTGAGAATCAGCTGTTGTGCTGTTAGAAACTGTTCTGAGGCTGTGGGGGGGGCTCTTTACAGCTGGGTGTCAAACTCTGGGCCTCTTTGAGCCGCTGTCCTGCAGGTTTTAGACATTGTCCCGCTCCTCCGCCCCTGATTCTGATAAAGCTGGATCTCCTCTGGACATCCTTGATTTGTAAAGGCTCTTGGATGTGAGTCAGGCGTGTAGAAACGGGGACGCCTCCAAAACCTGCAGGACCTCGGTCCAAAGAGGCCCAGAGAGGCCTGGAGTCTGACACCTGTGCTTCACGGGAACCGTTGGTTCCTGAGGGTGCCTCATTTCTTTATTGATCCAGGAATCAAGAAAAAGAGGGAAAATGTAAACAGAAATGTGCAGAATCAGAACTTATACTATGTTAAAAACCGTCTGCTCTGAGCTGCCTCCGCCTCCAGCTGTGTGTCCTCTGTGTGAGGCGTCTCCAGGAGCTCATCACTAACCCCCCCCCCCTCTCTGGTGTGTGTGTGTCCCAGAGCCTCCCCTTCACAAAGATAGCGCATAGCATAACGGCGCAGGACCACCAGCCCACCCCGGACAGCTGCATCCTGAGCATGGTGGTGGGTCAGCTCAAGGTGAGTCCGGCTGCCGCGCACGGCCTCACAACAGCTCAGGCCCCCCCCCCCCCAGCGGTGATAGCTGGCCCCGCTCACAGGAGTAGTTGGGTTAGTGAACTCTCATTTCTTCCAGAACCCCCACCCCACTTGAAGGGGGGGCCAACTCACACCAATGACAAGGGTGACATGATTTCCATTTACTTAACAATCTCAGACATGGAAGCGTTTTGTGTGAGAGAATGTGTGTGTGTTTGTCTGAGTATGAATGTGTGTCTGCGTGTGTCTGTCTGTGTGTGTCTGTGAGTGTGTACATTGCCCCACAGAAGATTGGAGCTGGTGGCGTTCTCCTGACTCTGCTCCTTCTTTCCCCTGTCTGTGTGTGTGTGTGTGTGTGTGTGTGTGTGTGTGTGTCTGTGTGTGTGTGTGTGTGTGTGTAGGCTGATGAGGACCCCATCATGGGCTTCCACCAGAGCTTCATCCTGAAGAACATTAACGACGCCTGGGTCTGCACCAACGACATGTTCCGGCTGGCCATCCACAACTTCGGCTAAGCCGCGGCGCCGTGCTGGCGGGCGGAGCCGGCGGGCGGCGGCGCCGGGGGGGCGGGTCCCAGATCTCCACCCCCGGACCCGGGCCAGGTGGGTTCTCCAGGCAGCCCGGCTAGCAGAACCACGGCTGGAGAGCCGGCCGGCCGACCGGCCAATCGGACGCCCCCGTCTGCTGCCACGCCGCCGGCCTGCATGATGCCGGGGGCCCCTGGTCTGAGGGACAAACAGCCGACCGACGCCGCCGGCCCCTGCGGCCCGACCCGGTTCTGGCCTGTAGCTGCTGGCCGGGGCCAGGCGGCCGCTCCAGCCCCGACCTCCTGTGTTGACATTTGTTTTTAGACGCCACTCGTGTTGCTTAGCTCGCCCTAGTGAGTCCGCCCCCCCCCCCCCCCCCCCCTCCCCCCCCCCCCCCCCCAGCTCTGGCTCCGCCCCCCCAGCTCCACCCTCTGGCTCCGCCCCCCGCCGGCCCACAGGACAAACCCGGACAGCAGTTTGACCTCGGTGTGTTGTTTTCTCTGACCCTGCATTCTCTTGCTTTCTCACATGTTCACATGGACTTCAGCCACGAAACACAATAAAACCTGGACTTTTTCTTAGCGTGTGTGGGCTCTCCATGTCATTTCCTGTTCTCACTGCTGCTGATTGGGTTGTTTTTCTTAGAGCACCTGTTTTACCCTCATCAGCCAAACGGAACAAGCGAACTGAAGGCTTTTAACTGCTGCTCTAACAGTCGGTTTCCCAAAGGGGGGGTTTGAGGAGCTCTCTGGGAAAATGGGCTGGTTAATGGCGACCGCACAACTGGTTGAACAGATCCAGAAAACCAGGTGTTGTTAGCCAGAGCAGCTGCTGGTTCAGATGTTTGACCTGTGTGTTTCTAAACCACCAAAGCTTCCAGCTGTGGGGTTCTCTGCCTTTTTTTCTTTTAAAGAACAAGCTGGTGATGGTGAGCTCCGTTCAGGTGGACTCTGTGTTTTTACAGCACATTTAGAAACAACTGTAGACCCAAAGAGCTTCACAGGCTCGCCCAGAGGTTTGAGAGTATTCAGTCCTGTGATACTAAATGGGGGGCTTTTCCTCTGAGTGAAGGTGTCAGAAAAAAAGGCTGAGATACCTTTATTTCTGAGCCCGGGAACATCTGGAATCATCTGGTCTGATGACCTCAGGGCTCTTAATCAGGGAGTGGAAATGGAAAATAAAGGGGGCCCGGAACCTTCAAAACATTAAAGTCTGCCTTAAAAGGGGAGAGGAAGCCAAAGCGGGACGCTGCTTTGTCAGATTAAGGAGCTGAGCAGCCGCTTTCTGGACTCACTACCCTCCTCGGAGCTTTGTACCATAAACTCACATTCAGCAGTTCCACCTAACACCTAAAAAGGATTTTAAAAAACTCAAAAGTCCCTGTAACTGAGACACGGTTTGACCCCAGCTGCCTATCTGAGCTCATTTAAAACCTTGTCGGTCAAACTTAAAACTGTCATAAAGAATATAGCCAAAATGTCAGAAACAAAGAAAACAGATTAATACTGCTAATTTTGCAATATACAAACCTTTTTATAGGAGATCCTCTTGAGTTTTTTTTATGTGGGAATATTTCAGGAGTTTTCATAATAGTCATGTTTTTCTTTGCGTTTCTCCCTATGATTAAATCCTTAATTTAGCAGGACTTTGGCCAAAGTTGCTCTTAAAAATGATATAAATATAGTGGTATTGTGTGAAAAAAGTTCATATCTCAAAGATGCTGCACGGAAACACTTGGCGGGCCTAAAATCTTTAAAAGTTTTGTCAAGGGCAGATCAAAAATCTGCCTTACAAATGATTGACAACAATCATATAAAAAGTGTAAGTTATGTGGGAAAATCTAAATAATAAAGGAGGTAAATGGGACGTATCCTCTCAAACTCCATCAAAATAAGTCTCGTTTATGAAGTCTGTTTACACGCTCAGCTGTGCTCGTTGTCCGGTGTCACCTCTGGTAGGAACCAATGATCCGGCTCATGGGCAGGTCGGAACTCACTGTGCGGACAAAGCGGAAGTTTAGACGGTTGCTCTGGGTGAACAGTGCTCAAAGCGTCGCAAAAAAACAAAAAAACAACTGTTATTTCTCTCCCTTAGAATAACCCAGTGTCCCCTTTCCCTCACCCATGGCCTCCAATTTAAATATAGATATCGAGGGTGCGACGCAGCATCTCCGAGATATCCTCAAGCTCGACCGTCCCGGGAGCAGCGCCGGTAAGTGGGAATAAAAAAGCGGCTGCGCTGCTTTAGGCCGCGGAGGCTAACGGGATGCTAGTCGGCTACACAGATTTCCAATGCTGCGGTACGCAGTTTAAAAGCCTGCTTGCAAAAATACCCAGAGGGACTGTTTGAGTGTCAGCAAACTCCTTCGCAGTTGGTCGCACTTTTTGACTGTACTTTAAGAGCAAGTGTCCATTTTTGGGTCTTGAGTGCGTCGTCCTGGGTTTTAGCGAGGTGACGAGCTAGCTAACGTCTAGGTCTATTTTGTGGTGTAGACAGGCTGTCTGCTGCCTGGTGGAGGGAAAGTAGGGAAATGTTTGGTTTATCTTTAATAATCTCATCGCTATCTCCTCTTTTAGCTCGTAAACAGTAGTTTTAGCATATCTTATTTCTGCCTTTGTGGAAGTTAATTGTGGTGTCTGTATTGTGTCCGTGCCCTCTAAGTGCGTAGCAGGTCGGTCTTTATTTCCACTTTGAATGACTTTTCGGTTGTTCTGTCACCTTCAGCCGTAAATACAATATGCATCATGGACTATAACAATGACCATGTCAATTTTAGAGAAGTTTGAGCAGAGAAACCCCACTTGTAATAAGTTTAGACCTGCATTTGTTGGGAATAAGTTGTCAGGCTTAGCTTTAGTAGGAGAGAGGAAGGGATGAAACTAAACCTCTTCCACTTGATTGTCTCGGTTTAGATTAAACCCCTGTAGTAATTGTTAAATGACTTGCAGTTTGAGCAAAGATAAGAAACAAGAAAATGTGGCCGGATTTCCAAAGAGATGAAAGTGAAAGTTAAGTCTAGTTAGTGATTCATTTGTTATGAGAGGAGGTGATTATAACGGTTTTAAGGGCCTCTTGAAGGTAGATAGGGGGACCTCTGCTCTGGAAACACCCCATAATTCATTCTATGAACGAGAGACCAGGAAGTAGAGTTTTTAGATTTTTCCCTTCTGATTCACATCAATGCACCTTTTTTTGTCCGACTTTGAAAAACAAAATAATAATTTGGAGACTTCTTTTCAGTGCAGATCAGGAAACATCAAACATCTGGAGGACAGAGGCCCTCAAGGACCTGAGCTTGTGATCCCTGATGTAGAGGAAGCTTTCAGACTATAGAAAAGGGGAAAGTGTACAAGCAGACGTAATGGAAAGCAGCAGAGGGTATCCTTTACCCAAGATGTAAATGACAAAACACGCACAGGTTCTAGCGTACAACACATTAGAGGCATGGCAGAAACTTCCACGAGAAACGCGCTGCTGTTAAAGTTGTCACAACACAGACGTCCCCAGAAATAAAAAGATGTATTTTGTAGCTTATGCGCTGCGGCTCAGCAGGTCTTTGCACAAACAGCTGTGCTCTCTGCAGCTGGACCCAGGCATGGCGTTAAACACCAGGCTGGACCCCTAAATGATGCACAGGAGACTTTGTTCCCACAGAATGTGGCTTTGCCTCCATTCATTTTTCTATTAGAAACGTCATCATCTGGAATATGACGTTCTTTGTTAGTGTTTTTCTCCAATTCATTTGTCAGTTGTGACTGTTACCTTTTTTAAGTGTTGATTAAGTTTCAGTTAATGAAAAGACTTCAACATTAGCTTTGCAGAGATGAGTATTTGGATGATAACTGATCATTCACTAACCCTTTAAGAAGGCGACATAGACCTTTTTTCACAACTAAACGTCCCGAGGAACGAGTTTTATACGAATTGTTGAGAACTTTGATACATTTCTGTAACTTAATAGAAGGTCTTTCCTTTAAATCTCATTGGTGGTGATCAGTAAGAAAGTGGCAGCAGTGCTGCAGTTTTTGAGCTCTATCATGTGGTAAAATGATTCAGGTGTTTCTGATTGAACTCGTTTTCTAATCAAACCTTTCTTCAAAGTTTGGACGTCGTGGATCAGAAAAGTGTTGCCTTTCTCCTGCAGAGTTACACAGTTTGTGCAGCCTTGCTCATAGAACAACATGTTCTGTGACCTCAGAGTTTGTTTAATTATTTAGTTTTTTATGGTCAGATTAACGCTATAAGCACAATTCTGTGGGCTGGGGCTTTAAATGCTCACAGGCCTGTCTCGCAGCAGGCGTTATCTAATTTTTTTTTTTACTTGTAAAGAATATTTTTTTTCAACTGGAATTTCCCAGAAGCGTTTGAGTAAAGGATTTCCAAACGAGTAAAGTTAGACTGTGAGAAATTCCTGCTTTTTGAATGCGCATCAGCAGGAATTCACAGGCAGCCTTTTGAGCTGATTAAGAATAAATCAATATTTAAAAAAGATACATTTAAGAAAGAATTTCTTTTTAGATGTTAAAGAAAAAAACTAAGCCGTTGTTTGTTAAAACATTATTTTCCAGGAGATTTAGTCTATAAAAGGAATGAAACCCTACAGCCTCCCTGGACCTCTTTGCTGTCCTGCAGGTTTTTGGAGGTTTTTCTGCTTTAGATAAAACTGATCTCTAAAAATGTTTAAGCTCTGCTCAGGACTGCTGATGTTGTGTTGATGTGAATCGACTCGTTTGAAGCACAGAAACCTCTAAAGGCCCGTAGAGGCCCCGGTTGAGTCATGTCTCGGCTGCTGTGCGTTGGTTGACAGATGCTCAGTCCGGCGACGGCCAGCGGAAGCCGTCCTTCAACGGGGAGCTGAACGGGCTGCTGGGCGCCGGCCTGCTGGGGGGCACCGACCGCTCGGGCCTGTCCGAGTCCACCAGGCCCATCTCCACGGACGTCAGCGTGGCAGAGGAGACGCAGGTCATGTGAGTGAGCCCCGTGACCCCCCCTCCCCCCCAACCGTCCTCACTGGAAACGGTTCATGAGCCCGTGTGTTTTCAGACGCCTGACGGGCGACGACGGCTCCACCTGCATCCCCATCACTTCCAGCAGCGTGGAGGTGGTGGCCAGCCAGGAGTCCAGCATCAGCAGCAAGGCGCGCGGCAGCAACCAGGTGAGCCAGAGCAATAACCAACCCCCCCCCCCAACCGGGCAGGAGGGTCGTGTCTGCCTGTTGCTCCTCCATCCTGAGCCTACAGAAGGCTTCTGCTGGTGGGTCTGAGACGTTTTCTCTTCTTTACTTCCTCTCAGGTTAAGATCCAGCCTGTGGCCAAATACGACTGGGAGCACAAGTACTACTACGGCCGGCTGATCGCTGTGTCCAACTCCTTCCTGGCGTACGCCATCAGAGGTGAGAGTCCCGGAGGAGCTCAGCCGGGGGGCGACTCTCATCGGACACCAGCTGTATTTCACACACCGACGGTTCACAGTTATTCTTTCAATAAAGTTATTCTTTATCCGGCCTGTTAGACTGAGACCTGCAGCTAGACTTAGACTGGACTCTAATTATGGGATTAGTCCAAGTTCCAGCAGCTTAACAGGACAGAAGCATCACACGCAGGGCAAAACCGAGAAAAACTGAATTACTAAACTCACTACAGAATATAAAATACACTCTAAAACTAACCATAACTTATTAAAGTATAAGATTAAAAGAAAAAAATAGCAAAAGAATAAAACTAGTAAATGTTAGTGAAAGTGAGCAGTGACTTTAAATTGGATCAGATTGTTATTCGACTGAAATGTCGCACACGGATGAACATTTGTGGATGAATAATTAGCCTAATTAACCGTTTGGTGAGGTTTGTTAGTCAAACAAGCGTTTCCCTCAGGGGCCAACAACCACGCCATGGTCCGGGTCCTGAGTCTGGACTTCAATGAGCGGTCCCTCCTGAAGGGGTTCACGGGGGCCGTCACCGACCTGGCGTTCGCCCACATCGACTCCTCGCTGCTGGGCTGTGTGGACGAGGCGGGAAACCTGATGGTCTGGCAGCTCACCTGCACCGGCAGCAAGATCCTGTATCCAGAAGCACGCCGGCGTGGGTGGGGGGGTTATCAATTATTGTTCAAAACATCCACGTTAGCTGTTATCAAGAGTGGGACGAGCTTGTCTTCCTGGGCTCCACAAGACAAAACAAAAATCACTTAACAATTAAACATTGTAGACATTATTATAGATGTCATCAGAGATCATTCCAAATTAGTTATTACATTCATATCTATTACATTAATAGAATTAATTCACTACTCGCAAATTTAAATAGGGCATTCTCAGGTAATAGTCTGGATCGTCTTAACGTGGTGCAACAGCTGGTTTTTGGGGCTTTAAAGCTGTTTTTAGGACTTATATGTTTATGTTTCTTCATTTAGACACTTTTATCCAAAGCAACTTTAAGAGTAGACACAATGTTCCAGTTATCAAGAATCAATAAGCACCTTGTAGACCAGCATCAGGGACTTGGGTTTAATGCCGGTAACTGGGGGGAGCTAAACTGGGCGACGTAAGTCTTTGCTCTTCCTGCGCCCTGGTGGGACGGATCCTCCTCCCAGATGCTCCCTAACTCTCAGTGCTGGCAGAGATCAGATAGTGGTTCACATCCAGAGGCCAGAGGACACTCCCCTGAACTCCCACCGCCGGCTCATCTGGTCCCCCGTCATCCTGGAAGACAACGAGGAGAACCAGGAGGACACCAGCCAGACGCTCGCCCTCCTCCATGAAGACAGGGTAAGGCCCGATCATTTGCCATGGTCCTCCTCAGGGCTCCGGTACAGGCATCCTGATTAATAAGGACTCGGTTCAGCTAAACGAGTAGAACAGGCAGAAAACAGACAAACAGGAGAAAAAATGACACTTTGAGGTCTCATTTTATTCTTCTCTTCCAGGCAGAGGTGTTGGAGTTTGAATTCCTCAGGACCAACATCAGCAGTTGGCCCGTTAATGCCGCAGAGCTCAAAGAGGGGCTGATCACAGTGAAGGGCCACACAGGGGTAAGACGGCTGGAAAACCACCGAAAACCTCCACAAATTTGATCAGGATGCTGATGAAGCCTCATTCTGGAGGAAAAGCAGAAGAAATCTGAATTATTCTGACTACAGTTTGAATCAGAGCTTCATATTTTGATTAAGTTGATCTTTTCTATTCGGAAATTAGCAAAAGTATTGAGCCAACTTCATATTTTCAGGTAATAAAATGGAAACAAAACTTCAGAAATGAGTCAGTTTAAGCAAAAGACAACAGGAGGGTCAGATTAAGGTGTTCGGCCTCTTCTGGCTCTGATAGTTTTCTCCATTTCAGCCTCTGAAATTAGCTTTTTGTCCTCATCGTCATCTGACTGGCCGACTTCTCTGATTGGTGGAACTCAACCATGTGACGTCTCTGACAAACAAAAACCTACGGCTGTAATCTGTGACAGATAGTTTAAATTTAAAGCAGTTCCTTCATAATAAATACACTTAAATCAAAGTAAAAAGTACATGAAGGCGCCTCTGACTCGCTGCCCTGAGAAAAGACGGTGCTCCCGGTTTGTGCTGTTTTGTGGGATGAGTCTGTGGCTCTGGGTGGGCCTCTGGTCTCTGAGGGTCTAAACTGTGTGTGATGTGGTCCAGCGGGTCAGTGAGGGCGTGTTGTCCCCCGACGGGACGGTGCTGACCACAGCCAGCCACGACGGGTACATCAAGTTCTGGCAGATCTACATGGACGCCGGGCAGGATAAGCCCAGGTGAGCTCAGAGGGGTTTTACACTGGGATGTGTGTTTTTTTTTTTTGTGTTCTATTATTTTTTTTAAACTTGATTTTTATTTAGATTTTTATATCTCAAATAGACGTATACATACAACCTAAAATCAATGGGGGGCTTTTTTAAACTTTCGATTGCTGATTGTTTTATATAATTTCCTTAATTTTGTTCTTTTAGTTTTTATTAACTCTTACTTGTTACATTTGTCTGTGGCTTGTTATTCTATGTACAGCTTTGAGAAGCTGCTTTTAAAAGCGCTCTATAAAATAAAGTTTATTATTATTATCAAGCCCACATTTAGACAGCATATTTAAAATTATCAGGTTAAACTCATCAGTAAAGTAGGTTACATGGTTAAACAGGATTCTCATACAAACACAGCTATAGGTGGTATTTAGTTTTCTTCTTCTTTTTTCTTCTTCTGCAGATGTCTCCACGAGCTGCAGCCCCACGGGGGGCGGCCCCTCTCCTGCCTCCTGTTCTGCGATAACCACAAGCGGCAGGACCCAGAGTTAGTACCGCAGCGCTCCCAGAGGCTCCTTCAGGCCCGCCGCCCGCCTCCGGCCTCCCTCATCCTCTCCTTTATCACTGCGGCTGTTTGCAGGGTTCCTTTCTGGCGGTTCCTGATAACGGGAGCGGATCAGAACCAGGAGCTGAAGATGTGGTGCACGGTCACCTGGAACTGTTTACAGACCATCAGGTGACTCATTTGTGTGCTCTTTTTTTTAGCTTTTGATCCTCCCTGGTCTCTGGATTGTGTTTTTATTTGCACAGAGCCTTTTTTTGTTTATCAAACTCAGCATGCTGGAACATTTCGAGCGGTTCGGATCAATGATTCCCCAGAAAACATTCACATTATTTATGTTTGAGAGCAAATCCTGATACAAACCTCAAACCTGCGCTCACATTTACTGGACTTAAACTCACATTAAACAAGCTGATTAAGTAATGAGCGTCCCTGCTAGTATCCGCCTGTTTAGGCCTATATGAAAAAAACACCAATTTCTACCATTTAAAGGATGTTTCAGCTACATTTAATCGTTAGATCAGCTCCCATAGAAAGGAAAGGATTGATTGAGTTTCTCCCTTTTGTATTCTTTATTGTTTATGAGCACAGAAATGTACTAATTATGGGGAGTTTTCTTCTCACAGGTTCTCTCCAGATCCGTTCAATTCGTCGACTCTGCCAAGTCTGAAGGCCAGTTTGGACCTCTCAGCTGAATATTTGATCCTCACTGACGTGCAGAGAAAGGTTGGCATCGCTCTCTAAACTCAGATCGATTCATCCCAGAAGGAAATGAATGAGAATAATATAAAAATGGCTTTAAAATGTTCTGTAGTCCAGCTATCTGTGGATAGAAAAGCTCCGGCTCCAGGAATGCCCTGTGAGTCTTTGGGCTTATCGGGGTCCCCGTTTGCCCCCCGCAGGTTCTGTATGTGATGGAGCTTCGGCAGGACCACGAGAAGGGAAAGGCCAGTTTTACCGCCGTGTCGGAGTTCCTGCTCACCTACCCGGCGCTCAGCTTCGGCGTGCGGGACGTCAGCCACACCCGGCTAAGGCACACCGAGGTCCTCCCTGCAGAGGAGGAGAGCGAGAGCCTGGCAGCAGGTGCCCCGGCACCCTCAGATCCTCAGATTATCGAACAGAGTAGAATAGAATATACTTTATTTGTCATGGCATGAAGAGTGTGGAGTGCATAGTAGAAACAATAATACACATAAAAAAACAAATACCGGCCAAAGACGTACACCTCGGCTACATACACACTCATAACGCATCCAAAAAAGGAACATACACTACTAAAACAACAAAAAGAACACCAAGTTATTGCACAGTTGGTTTATTTGGTTTAATTGCACACTGGTTTAATGAAATGTGTTTTGTCCACCAGAGGGAACTCAAGGACCCACAGAGTCCAAATCTGGGATCCAGATCAAACTCTACTGTGTCCACACAAAGTAAGTTTTGTGGAATACGTTTAGCTGAGGATACAGCTGAAAATGGAAATTTACTCTTGAATTAATGCCACAAAAATCACTCTTAGCTTCCTTTTTTCCCAAATAATCGATTAAGCTGTTGAGAAACAGTTGAGAAAAAAATATATTAAAGCTATTATATAATAGTTTCCAAGTCCAAAAAAGAGTGAAATACTTTAGATTTTAAGCAAATACTGGTAGATTTGGAGTTGGTGGAGGATAAATTTACTCTATGAATGAGATGTGTCCTCTAATAGTGAGGTAACTAATGCTTTCCTGGTTAACATTTAAATGTTAATGTTAATTTTACTGATTTGGTGCAGCTCAGAGCTTCATTTCAACCTAAACAGTAAAAATCAGCTCAGAAATAACACCCTCAGTGTGTCTGACGTTGGACGGTTTTGGATGAGAATTGTCTCTGAAATAGTTTTTGTGTTTTCAGGAGTTTGCAGGATGTCCAGATCTGGTTTCAGCCCAACGTTGAACCCAACGACGGCTCCAACTCGGCCGGCTTTCTCCCCCATTCGGATTCCCAGGACGGTTTCGGTAAGTTAGATGGGGGATTTTAGAGGTCTGCACAGAAGAGATAAAAACCTTTTTCTAGATGTATGACCTGTTAATTGGTCCCAAAGTGTGGGTCTGGGTTTACCGGCTGGTTAAAGGCCTGTCGGTCACATCGTGGGCTGAGCAGGTTTTCATTTTGCTGCTTTTTGCCCTGTTCGCATTTTGTGATTCCAGCTGCTTTTTCAGACCACCTCACCGACCAGAGCTCCGATAAGGAGTCTGGAAGCGGCTCCCAGACCGACCTGAGGAAGATCCCCTCGCTTCCTGCTCCTTCTGACTTCCTGTCCAACTCTGGCACCGGCGGGCCGATGCCCAAACTGATGACCCCCGACGCCTTCATGACCCCCACCAGCACCTCGGTACAGCCTTTCCCCCCTTTTCTCTGTAAAAAAACAGGAATGAGCATCTGGAAATGGAAACTATGCACCAAGCATGTTGATATTTGCTACCTACAGACATGAGAAATGCCTCCTCCCACAGATTCACAGCAACACAACACAGACAGAAGCCCACAATGCTGCTCATAGACAGCAAGTACAAAGCAAAGCCACATTTTTAGAGGCGGTCCAGGAATCACATTCCACTGCTCTGTGTTTGGTTGTGTAGTTGCATCCCCTAATGGATGTTTTTCACAGTATTTCATATTTCATTTAATTTCCCTCCAGGGGTTGATAACTGAAATGAATAGAATATTTGTTGCTTAAATGTCAGTTTTTGACACCTTTTAGGTTCCAGCGTCTCCAGGCAGCAGCGCCAGCAGTCTGACCATCATAACAGCCATCAGCAGCAACTCCGACTCCACCAACCGGTGAGCTCCAACTAGTTGGTTCTAGATCTAAAAGGTTTGTTTTGGATGTGAAACTCCGTCTGCTCTGCTGCAGGCTCAAACATTTACCTTCTCATTTAGGGCTCTAAAGATGAGCTGAAGTTAACCTGAGATCATGTGTAACATCAGAGATGTAATTATAGGAGAGGGCAGGAAGCTGCATCAACCCTGAACAGCTCGGTTTGGTTTGTTATCAGAGGGTTAAACAGCACAAGCCCAGAGGCTGATTGTTTTAATGCAACATGAGATCTAATATGTGGGAGTTATTTGTAGTTTTTTTTTT